AAAAAATACATGCAGTTATCATCAAAGACATGTTTAACTTTCAGTAACACTTGAGACCACACACACACACACACACACACACACACGGAGATTTCATTAATTCATCAGAACAAGTCAATGTCTTGTTCAAGGCTTCTTGAATGTTAATGAATGGATAATTAACTTTAGCTATATAATTAGCCTTTAAATATGCTAAATATGACCCCCCACCCCCCGAGAGCATCTGAAAACATGCATGAGATGAAGAGCTAAAACCGGAAACTTTTGATTAGGAAATGTCAAGCCACGTGACAACGCAAGCTCCCATTCTCAAAAGGGCCATGGTCTCCCTTTGTGTTGGGGGAATCAGATTTTCCCACAAACAGTCTTGGGTCTGGAGTGAACTTTCAGGCCATCGTGCAGGTACAAGAAAGGCTGACTGAGGTAACAGGGTCCTGTCTACATGCTTCAGTGAGCTGTAGCATCTCTCCAAAGCCGTCGAAAAACCTGGCAGGAAGCTGCTGGGTTAAAGTCGCAGGGGCACATGTGACAGTCGTCCATACTTTGTTCTTTGCAAATTTGCAGAAGGAAGGTTTTATTTCCCCCCTCATTCTGAATCACTGTCATTGTTAATCATTTACTTCCCTTGAGGACTGCTGGTGACAGGAGAGGGTGACAGCACCCACACAGCCTCTATGAGGCCTGGCAGGGAGGTGGGCATGTCACGACACCAGCACGGCACTCATTCGCTTCTGTTTCAGCCCCCGTGCTGGGGAGCCCAGGTGTCGTTTCATTTGTCACCAATGTTTGAAGAAATGATCAGCCCTTTGTAGGGAGTAGAGTTGGCTGGATGGAGTTGGCTGGCTAGGGGCTCTGTCCTGATCTTTGAGCCTCCTCCGCCCAGAGGGAGAAGCACTTAGCCGATGGCAGCTATGTGACCTCAGCAAGAGCTGGGGTGGTGGGGACAAAGGCGGTTTCCTCTTGAAAAGCAGGAGAAAACTCGGAACAGAGAAGCACACCGGGCTTCTCACCTGTGAGCCCTCAAGCACCCACCTGACTGACTTCTGAGGCCTCTTTCACGCCAACCTTCCATCTCTGTGATGCTTCAAACCCAGAGCTGCCAGTAGCCACGTGGCAGCCTAACATATTGCCATCTCAGCATCCCAACTCCAGCGGCCAGGTGCTTCTGGTCTAAATTTGGCTTCACTTTCAGGCAGCCTTTTCCTCTTCCTTACCTTTTCCTTTAACATGAAGCCTTGGCCATCCACTCCTAAACGTCTCCTGGACAAATAGGCCAGACATGTCTTCTGTGGGGATAACTCCAGACCATCCACAACTACGCATGTGCTGGGAAAGAGACACAATGAAGCTGAACAACCCGCCAAATCTTTTCAAACTCTATTCTAATCTCATCCTTGCTTCCTTTTTCATATCCCTGGGCTTGATGTATAGCTGTAGCCCCCAGTCTGAGTTTCATAAGCAGTAGACAGAGCTGCCCTAGTTAATGTCACAAGTCTTATGGATCACGTGGTCATGGTGATTATTCTGTGGCCTTGGGTATCAGACTGTGTAAATCCAAAGGCTGTTCTGACACTTCTAAGCTGGGCGGTGGTGAAGAGTTGCTTTACTTCTCCATGACTTAGTTTCTCATCTCACAGTGGGGATGGCAATAGGTGTAAACCTGTGCATAGTGATGGTTAATGAGATAATGCATATAAAATACTTAGGACTGGATTTGTCACGTAGAAAGCATGAAAGTTGTGAGTGCCTTTGTAAAATCTGAATTTGATTGGATGCACCTGTGTGTCCTGAGCATTTGCTATGGGCCAGTTACTGCACATAAACTTTATTTATATGACCCCCTTGTTCCCAGCAGCCCACGAAGGTCAGATATTGTCCACTCTGTGCGCAAAGACTTGGACCACAAAGCCCACTCTTGAGGATGTCAGCAATTTTTAACTTCTTTCTTTCTGACAATGGGAATATGTTTCTTTCAGTTGAAGAAATAGATTTGTCATGAAATACAGTATTGATTTTCTGAAATCTGTGCTTAACGGTTTAAACCACCGTTGGACACGTCTCATTGATGGGTGCAGTTTTAGATTTCCACCCCAGAAATGCATCAGTGTGTAGTGGGCTAATAGGAGGGGGAAAACTTTCAGCCCATGAATACCAGCTTATGGCCTTGACATTTGAATGCCCCTATGCACGCATAGGTGTGTGCTTCTGTTTATTTTTGGAGGAATTGAGAGTAAAGATTTGGGTGAGGCTTGGAAAGTCTTAATAAAACCCAGGTTCTCAGCATCTCCATGGAAACCTTGATATGTGAAGTACGGGCATTGCAAGCACCCTCTTCATCAAGAGGACAAATGCCGTCCATGACGGACGTCTTCAGGAAACACGTGTTATCCAGTCTCAACTGCCCTATGAAGAGTGACAGCAAGTGACTGCCAGCTTGTGAAATGATAGAATCCCAGAGCCGATGAGCATCTCAGCAGGACCACCAGCCACACAGAAGAAGGAATGACTTTCCTGAGGACGCGCCATCAGCCAAAGCTGGACTAGAACCCAGATCTCTTCTACCTGCTCGTCCACTGCTCCCCTCACACCCCTACAGCCACCACATACAAACCGACCTTTGCAATCTCCCCAGCCCCTGTTTCCCCGGGTTTCAGTTTGCCGGCTCTCCAGAGAGGCTGCTTCCTCAGGGGCTGTCAGCTCTGGATCACCATCACCACTGACAAAGCCCAGCTTTCTTCCTCTTCTGCTTGGATGCTCTGATCCCCTTTTAATGCGCTCAGAGTATAAAGCCACGTCTCCAATCCTGCAGCTTTGGATACAAGCTTCAGGGTCTTTCTGTTGGTGAGATAAGCCTTGTAGGCTCACTCCAACTCTCACCATTACAGAAACAAAAAATTAAAACAAAGAACGCAGCCGTAAACCTTCCAAATACTTTCATTCCCATAGGGCGTCCTTCAGCAGCTGTCTCTGAAAGGAGGCAACATTTTACGTCCTCTCCCTGCCACTTTTATTTTTCTTTGCTTCACTGTTTTATGTTTTCTTGTTAAAGAAAGAAAGGCAGTGATGTTGAGAAGTTGCCAAAGAAGTGGAGTTATCTCCAATTTCATTTTCCTACCTACTTTAGAATTGAGTATACATCCCCATGTTCAATGATGGTCATTCCTGCCTCGTTAAATAACTTAAAAAATTGAAACAACATGCACACCAGCTAATAGAGACCTAGGGAATGAATGAGGCACAGCCGTGCCATGGAGGGGATTTATGGCGCTAGCCTTTTGGAGGGGACGTGACTGGGAGGGGCATAGAGGACTTCTGAGATGATGAAAATGTCCTATACCTTGATCTGCATGATGATTTTAAATATGTGTGCATATGTCAATTTTTATCTAGCAGTTTATTTTATATACATCACACCTCCATAACAATAAATGTATCCCAGGAAAGTGCTGCGTTTGTTGACATGAAACATGTTCACTGTGTGTGGTGTGAAATGAAAAGAGAACACAATTTGTGAAATAGTTTGCCTGGTAAAGTTCTATTTGGGGGCGTTAAAACAAGGGTTGACAAACAATGGCCCATGGGCCAATCTCTTGTTTTACTGGAACAGAGCTGAGTCCATTCGTTTATATATTATGAGGGGCTGCTTCCACGCTGTGCGTAGTTCCTAGTGCAGCCATAACACATCCCACAAACGGTGAGGGTTAAACAACAAGGTTATTTGTCTCCTAGTCCTGGAGCCTGGAAGTCCGAGGTCAAGGTGTTGACAGGGCCGAACCTTCTCTGAGGGCATTGGGGAAGAAGATGCTCCGCCTCTCCCCCAGCCTCTGGTGGTTCCTGGCCCTGTGGCAGCATCACTCCCACCTCCCCAGGGCGTCTCCCTAGTGTCTGTGCTCACACCTCCCCTCCCATGAGGACACCAGGGATAATAGAGGAGGGGCTCTCCCTATTCCGGGATGACCTCATCTTAACAATAACATCTCCAAATAAGATCATATTGTGAGGTGCTGGGGGTTAGGACTTCAACATATGAATTTGGGGGGGAGGGGAACACAACTTGGCCCATAACATGTCACAACGGCAGAGTTGAGTCGTTGCAACAGAGACCCTATGGCCCACAAAACCTAAACTAGTTATTATCTTGTCTTTTCAGAAAAGTTACCAACCCCGTTTTAAAAAAGGTGTGTGTATGTGTGTGACTCTGTGCATGTGTGTGCACATGCACAAAAAGTTTGGAAGATTGGGCCTGGGCCAGGTAGCTCAGTTGCTTAGAGCATTGTCCCAACACACCAAGGTGGGTTCGATCCCCATTCAGGGCATATACAAGAATCAACCAGTAAATGCATAAATAAGTGGAACAACAGATCAGTGTTTCTCTTTCACTCTCTCTCTTTCTTCCTCTCATTCTTTCAAATCAAAATTTTTTTTTAAATTTGGAAGGTTGTTCACCAATACGATTGCCTCTGAGTTATGGAATATGGGCAATTTTAATAGTGTTTGTATTGTTAGTATTTTCTACATTATTTGGGTTTCTAAAAATTATTACATCATATTTTTGTAATATGAATACACAGTAAGCATGTTTCTTTTGGGAGGAAGAGACCTTATTCTTATTGAGTCCCTTGCCTGCCTGCCTGCTACTCCCGAATCGTCTGCCCCTTAATTGTTTACTTCGTTCTGAGGCAGCCTTTCTAAATAGGCCGCTGTCCTCCACTGTTGGGAGTACTAAGGGCAACACTTAAACCAGCAAACTCAACTGTTTACTCACTTGGGTATAAGGATTCTTCACGTCTTTATTTAGCTGTCTCTTGTAACTTGGAGAAAAAAGTTCTGGCTTTTATCTCTTCATTAAAAATAGATCCTTTTATAATGAGAGGATGGAGCAGCCCTGAGCCATCGTCTCCCATGGGAAAGAAAGTGTGTGATGCTGGAGTGGGCTGGGAGCTGGGCCCTGAGGTGGTACCCCGCCATTCCCATGACTTCCTGGTTTCTTGTCATTGCAGGAAACTGGATGCTTTCATCTACGATGCGGCGGTCTTGAATTACAAGGCTGGGCGGGATGAAGGCTGCAAGCTGGTGACCATCGGGAGTGGGTACATCTTTGCTACCACTGGTTATGGAATTGCCCTCCAGAAGGGCTCACCTTGGAAGAGGCAGATAGACCTGGCCCTGCTCCAGTTTGTGGGTGATGGTAAGACCGTGGGTGACCCCCTACTTTGGGGTACTTGAGGCCCTTGCACTTTGGTCCCCCCCCCCTTTATTGGCTTTCCAATGGATTTTTTTGTGATGAACTTGCACACTGAAAGTATTTATTGAATGCTTATCACATGATACCACTGTTCTTTGGGTTGCTTATAATGGAAACCAATTATAGATAGCCATGTTTTTAAAAGACATTTATTTTGGGGATGCAGAAGTATCCATCTCAGTGAATTTAGAAAAGAGTTGAGCAAATAGATTTAGAGGAAAAACAGCAACTGGGGCAGTCCTGGGGCCTCAACGGCACAAATTCACAGGTTCTCTCTCTCTCTCTCTCTCTTTCTCGCTCTCTCTCTCTCCAGCAGTCGCTTTAACAGGAGACAACTTTGACCCCTAGAGCACTTGGCTATGTCTGGAGACATTTTTATTGTCATGACTCTGGAGTCTGTTTGCCACTGGCATCTAGCGGGTAGAGGTCAGGGATGAGGGATGCTGGCAAACATCTTACCATGCTCAAGACATCCCCACCCCCATATCTCAGAACACAGAATTATCTGAGCCCAGATGTTAGTAGGACTGGAGCTGAGACAGTCTGCCCTGGAGCAGTGACATTACATAACCAGCTCATAATACATCCCAATCTCGAGTCTCTCAATTCTCAATTCCAAGTCCCAGAGGAAGGATTCCTGGAGCATTTGGGGTCAAGGACCCATCAGGACTGAAAAAAAAAGGCAGGGTTATGTTGTACCAACACAACAGCTCTTGCTATTATCCGAGGAAGGAATGAAACAGAAGCAATTTCTAGAAAAGGAATCGTGAGCAGAAATGTCGTGGGCTTTCACTACAGTTCACTTCTTGACTTTCTATCATGCAAAAAAAGAAAAGTTTCCACCCTCTTGGGGATTATGGCATTCATGGAAGCTAATTGGGTCAACTCTTTCTAGCAGCATTTCCTTCTGTGTGTCCTCTGTTTCCTAGTTGGTGATCTCACCATAGCCTTTGCCGTGACATCATCTTTACAATTCTGCCGTGGCTCAGATGGCAGGCTGGTTCCCCTCTCAACTGCCAGCACTGAGATAGGAAAGACAAAGCCAGCAGAGATGGCAGGTTAACAGTGAAAACACGAGTGAGTGAGAGTAGGGTACAGACACACAGGACACAGGGCAGCAGCTGTATTCAAGAACGAGGGGAGGCTCTGGTCAGAGTGGGTACGGAATATGCTGTGCCTGCCTAGAGCTGGGACAGGAAAATCTGGCAACTCCTGTGGCCAATACATTGAAATGGGCAGAGGTTAGTGCATAGGGTTGGTGTGAATTTGAATCAAGTACATCATCCCTAGCAGCTTCCTTCTTCTTTCAGAATTGAACCCCGATTCTCACAGTGCCATAAAGAAATCTAAATGTGTTTTATATTTAACTCCTAAATAGAAATCTGATTCTCTTAATTCCCTATGGAGCATTTGTGCCTTCCTCAGATCGTGAGCCACGTTCTCCGCTGTGTAACAGTGCTTTGGGCTGTGTGGGCCAGCTACGGCTGTGAAACCTACCAGTGGTTCTCAACCTTCCTAATGCCGCGACCCTTTAATACAGTTCCTCATGTTGTGGTGACCCCCAACCATAAAATTATTTTCGTTGCTACTTCATAACTGTAATTTTGCTACTGTTCTGAATCATAATGTAAATATCTGATATGCAGGATGTATTTTCAGGGGTCGCGACCCACAGGTTGAGAACCACTGTGAGAGGCATACACATTCATTTTGCTCACGGGAGTGTAGGTGGAATGGAGGAGCTTCGCTTCAGGCTCTGATGGCTCCGGTGACTGTACTCTCTCCGCAAGTCCCTGGTCAGCTGTGTGGTCTGTGTTCCACGTGTGTCTATTCTGGGGCTCAGGCTGAAAGGTCAGCAGCCACCTAGGAGAAGCTCTTGTGTTGGCTGTGTCAGAGGCACAGAAAGGAACACCTAAACCGCACATGCACATTTCAGCTGGCTGCCTTGTCACAGTCATATCTACTAACCAACTTCTGTCTAGACAGATGGCCAAGCCCAAGTTCAAAGGATTGGAGGTATGCTCTACCTTTTATGAGAGGAGTTTGATGTTATAGGACAAGGTATATAGACATAAACAGGGATGAAAGATTAGGACTGATGGTTCCTTCTACCACTGTGGTTGCCTAAGCAACCCTACATGGAGTGAGCTACTCAGCAAACAAGAGTATTATTTATAACAGTAAGCACATAAAACTCTGAACATGACAGATAACTGGCCAATGAAGGATTTCATGAATAAATACGCACATGGATGAATGATTAGTGTTGGGATGTGTTTCATTTGACAGGAAACTTTTAAATATGGAGGGTAGCTGTCAAATAATGAGTTCTAACTCTACTCCTACCCACCATTGCTGTCACTCATCAGAATCTGCTATGAAACAGCAACATATTTAGGGAATAAGATATGTCAATTACCATACTGGATGCATTACATGTGTTCTTTAATTTAATATTGATAACAACCTTATGAAGTGAAATATTGCTTTTACCCATTTCACAGAGGAAAAACTGACACTCAGAGGACTTATGAGCCCCCTACCTAGTAAGGGGAAAAGTCTCTTCTCAAGGGGCCTTAATCCAGAAAGGGGTCAATTATGTAAGACTCCTGATACATTTAATTCTCTAAGATGTCTTTCAAAATTGGCTAATTAGACACTTAAGATTTGTAGACACCTTTAGGAAGGAGTTATTTAGTGCATAACTGAACTAAATCTTTTGTCCCATTTATAAATACTTCTGCAAAAGAGGTGATTTTCTTAGCCTTATCTGTGAATGAGTATAAAAGTATTTACCTGATAAGGTTGGTGTGAGGATGAAATGAGACAATGCATGTAAAGAGCTTAGCTAGCACAGCACCTGAATATAGAAATGGTTCAATAAATGGTAACTGTTACCATCATCATCACCAACACTATTATTATCACCATCACCATCATCATCACCAACACCACCACTGTCATCATTGTCACTATCAACATCACCGTCACCGTCACCATCATAATCAGCATCACCAACACCATTATCATCACCGTCATCATAACCACCATTAACACCATTATTACCACCATCACCATCCTCTTCCTTCTCTTCCTCCTTCTCATCATCACTGTCCATCCGCAACTCCAATATTCAACACACCTTATTCAGTGTTATATTGGTGAGAATATGGCCCAGTTGGTATCATGGAAACAACAGAAAATGTCCTCCTTTTGGAAAATCAAAAGTAAAGGCATTCAGATAGGCCAGAGGCATGTTCTCTGTACTAGCAGTGTCTAGATTCTTATAAATATGTTCTGGCTCATTGCTTTCCTGGTCAGACTGTCGGGGTTGGGAAATGTGTCTCCTCAGCTTCATCTTCAGAGACCATCTGGAGGCAAAGACATTGGAGAGAAATGACGTTGCTCCAGGGGGCGTCTTAACATAATCTTCCCGGAAAGCCACGTGTCCAATTCTGAATGCCTCTCTAAGAGTAAATACATAAATTAACACAGCTGCGTAAATATTTCACTTATCGTATGCAGCTTCAACAGGATTAATTATGCTCTAAAGTTAGACCTGTAAAGAGCAGCGCTGAGCAGTACCTAATTATTATTCATCCTCTAGAAGGGAGTGTTTATCTCTTGTTATAGAGTAGCTTTGGCAGACAATTACGAGTGTAATGAATTTCAAAAATGTTTTAAAAAATTTTCTTAATGAGCTATATAAATATAACCTTTGAAGGAGTGTTAGGTTATTGGGGGGACCTCTTACATGAAGCCTACCAAGCATTTCCCTAGGAAAAAGGCCACTGGTCTGCCGTAAGAGATACACAGGATCCCAACAAGATCTTACCTTCCTTTTTCTTGTATGATCATTGTGTCCTTTCTGAAATAGTGGAATGCCCCATAGGAACCTTTGCTCTCAGTAGTTTAGTAATAACAATCATAGGTTCTTTGCAGCTTTGATCATGACTATCATTTACTGAGAAATATACCTTCCACCTGGATGGTGTGGCTTAGTTGGTTGGAGTGTTGTCCTGTGCACTGAAGGGTCATGGGTTCAATTCCTGGTCAGGGCACATACCTAGGTTTTGGGTTCAGTCCCCCTTTGGGGCATGTATGAGAGAAACAGCAGCACAATCAATGTGTCTCTCATGCTGGTATTTCTCTCTTTC